TAGCCAGGCGTGGTGGCAGGCCCCTGTAATCCTAGCTGTTCAGGAGGCTGGGGCAGAAGAATTGCTTGAACCCGGGAGGCGGAGGTTGTAGTGAGCCGAGATCGCACCACTGCACTCCAGCCTGGGTGACAGAGTGAGACTCCGTCTCACACACACACACACAAAAAGCCACCCATCAGTTGCTCTGACTAGCCAGCTGCCAATAATTCGCCCTGTAATGAACTGACCAGTCCCTCTAACATCAGATGCATGAGCCACGTTAAGGTAGTTTTACAAGCTCTAATGTCATAAGTTCATATACAAAGTAAGTGAATATAAACAAATTCAAGTGCTGGCTTCAAAATTTTTCAGGAGTAAAACTGATTATTCAAGTATAAACTTAATTAAAAATTAATGGCCAAATGATACTAGGATTAAGCCCCAAAGCAAGGTCAAGCACCACCATGGGCATGGGCACAGGGACTGCTCACGCCAGTGGGCCCCACTCTACTTGGGCCGCCAGTGGCCTCTGAACTGGCCTAGAGGAAGAGGTATGCCCAGCTCTTCTACAACACGACGTTACATGCTGCAGGGGTTTCCTTGACAATTTCAGTTCTAAGTAAAAATTATTGGCCCTATGTGTGAAATGCTATTTTAAGGATGATTTCCTCCACAGTACTGCATTCAAAAGTTTCCCTAAATAATGAAAAGTTCCTCAATCCAGCAAAAACTGGAATCAGTAAAACTGCATGCTTTGTTTGTTAGATTATTAATGTCTACAACTTAAAACTGTCAATTAAGAAAAGCCCTTTAAAAAAATCATTACTAGTTGGGCATGGTGGCTCATATCTGTAATCCCAGAACATTGGGAAGCCGAGGCAAGTGGATCACCTGAGGTCAGGAGTTTGAGACCAGCCTGGCCAACATGGCGAAACCCTGTTTCTACTAAAAATACAAAAATTAGCTGGGTGTGGTGGTGCACGCCTGTAATCCCAGCTACTCAGGAGGCTGAGGCAGGAGAATTGCTTGAACCCAGGAGACATAGGTTGCAGTCAGCTGAGATTGCGCCACTGCACACCAGCCTGGGCGACAGAGTGAGCCTCCATCTAAAAAAAGAAAAAAAAAAATTGTTCCTCTCTTATGGCTTTTAATTGGCTGATAGGACTTTGGCACTTGAATTCTTGTTCATGAAAATAATTTTGTTGTTGCAATTATCATGCATTTTGTGGAGCACTGGGCACCATACAGATCTGAAAATGAACTTGTAGTAAATTAAACATTTTTTGTTAAATCTGTTAGACACCATGGTTTTAATTTCACCATCTACTAATGATACATCTTACTCTTACTATGTAAAATGTTCAACGTAATAAAAGGAATAGACGGAAGGTTTGGGAATTTTTACTTTTTTTAAGCTTATGAATCCTTTTGTTTTGAAGCCAAAAATTTTCTGGCCTGTTAATAATTGATTATACTCTAAAAGGAAAGAAAACAGATATTAGTTGTTTGTGACGGTACAGACCATCAAATTAAACTTGATCTATGCTACTGGAAGTCCTAGATTTGGAAAGTAAATCATTTTCCTATATGCTAAGAGAATCCTGAAACACAGAAATATGAAGATTCTTGGTTCTATTTATTCACTTTCCACATTATGTCTAACGAAACTTCATCACAATCGGTCTCTCACTTATCGTTCTCTTAGACTGAAAAAATGGAGGCTCCTGAAAAATGTAATATCCTAATATTTTTTAGACTTTCATTTGCACATAAAACAGGACAAATGCCCCAGAAAGTTTCTTTAAACTTTAAAGAAACTTTCCATTTAAAGTTCCATTAAAGTTTCTTGCAAACCGGATAATCAAATTGCCTGGATTTCTATTATTAGAAGTCAAGACAAGCAACTCCACTGTTAAGAGAAATTGGCAGAGGTTGTTTCTTTAAGTTCTAGGCTAAATTCCACCCCCACCTCTTTTTTCTAAAACTATAAAATATAATGTTTATCTCATGGATAAATTTGTTTCTTAGACTATTTTTTTAAAATCATAGCACAGCAGGAGTTAAAACAAATATCCTAAACATCATCTTGAATCATTTAAAAATCCTTTTGATAAACCAAGCTAACTGGAGGCAGGTATATAGTTAACAGCTTGACCCCTGAAGGTACATTCCATTTCTTCCTTTAAAAAATAGTAACTGTTAAGAGGTAGAAAATCTCTTGAAGTCAAACGGTAAAACTGTCCCTTTAAAACAAATGTAAATAATGACTTTTACAGGTTCGCTATCTAGTTTGTCATTGTCATTTAACTTTCATTACAGAGTTAGAAGGAACATTTATAGCCCAGTGAGGTTAGAGGGGAGAGCCAGCCTGAGTTTGTGCGCTGTCATTTCCCAAATGTTCTAGAGCGAGTACCGAGTATACCTTAGTTAAGGGATTTCCAATAATTTTTCCCTGGAAGAAAAGGGTTTTCGCAATACTTACACAGGTTCCTGCAGAGACATGTGGATGTTTAGGGGGGCTCATCTGCTACTTAAGCAACATACTGTGCAACTATATCTTATACTCTTAAGGGCCCATGAATCACGTCCTTGATGTATTCTGAAAGAATAAGTGAAAGTACCAAAACGAATTCTGTAACTCACTCTTAGAATCTAAAAGATGCCTGTAACCATGAGCAAATGCCATTCTGAGCTGGAGGCTGACATGCCAATTAGTGCAGTGTCATTGGGATCTAAACCCCTTATTTTAACACAGTGCCCTACAAATACTGACATTTTGTTTTGACAGTTACAGGAAAGTTAGCTAAAGGATATTTTCATTACTAGATTTCCCAGAGTTTAATTTGGAAGGCCTCCTAGACCAATTTTCCTCCTTGAGAACAGAAAAGAAATACATACAAGACTTAAAGAGAAGTTTTGAAATTAAAGGTGGTTTCCTTTCCCTTTAGATATTTAAGAATAAGAGGAATTGATAACTTCAAGAAGGACACCAGCCCACAGAGAGGAAGCAAGCCTCTAACACAAAAGTCCTGATCCTTTCAGACATCCAGAAAGTGTGTGCACAACGGGAAACAGGCACTTCAAACAACATCATAAACGGTCACAAGAAAATAAGTTACTTTGAAAAGAACTAAATCTTTCAGCTGCTTCGTGTAAAACTTATCCTGACTGAGGCTGACAAGCAGGTGACGGACGCTTAATCATAATCTTACTTTATGTTCTTTTAATCACCAGATGATAGTTAATTAGTTATCATAGAATCAGAAAAACACTTGTGTGAAAGGAGAGTTCTGGAGACCATTGGTTTCTAGGATTGGACACCTGCAAAGAGCTTATTTCAATTTCTCTGAAAAGAATCAACATAAAGTAGCAGCTAATTAATAATTTTTCTCTTCTGTTCAGTCCTGAGAGTTTTAAAAAATGGCCCTGTATCATAAGAAAACCAAAAAATGTTTATAGATGGGCATATGTCTCAATTCCTTTGAAATCTAGCCTCTTCTCCACAATAAATTATTATAAAGAAAATATGAAATGTATATTAGATCATTGCTTAGTCAGGTTAATAATCCAAAATGTGCTCAAAATAAAACACTGCTTCTGACTTTAATATTCATCTTTGCATTTTAGAAGCAAATGAAATAAGTAAAAACATTTTTTTCCTGCTTTCACAGAGTATGGATTACGGATCTGAGACAGCAATTTTTTCTTATTGTTGTTGCTAAGCATTAAAAGGATATTACATGAGACACAGTGCTGAGTCAACTTCTTAGACAGACTGATGAAAATGAGAGAAGAGGCCCGAAAAATACATTAAGTACAAGCTTCGTATCACTCATTCTGTTAATAAAACTTGGCTGCAATAAAACAGAATCACACCCTACATATGGGAGGGAGTGTGAGAAATCATGAAATCAGCAAAGGGCTGATGAGATGGACCCACATTGGGCTTGGTACAGTAAAACATCACAGTAATATCAGGGACATCCAGATGCCTCACCAGTTAAGATGAGCTCAGAAGACCTTGCCTTTCCCCATGCACCGAGATACCATACAATCACCAACAGCCACTGCTGGGTTTGGTGGAAAAAATGTGAAGGTCATAGATTTGCACCATCTTTTGGTAAAATAAGACAGAAAGGGTCGCACATGCTTTGCCTCTTCGGTAATGAGTCAAGCAACCTGTTTTTATTTTGTTGTCATGGAGATAGAGGCCCAGCAGTGGGAATTCTAGGGACATACTAGGGCGGTGCCCAGATGCCTGGGATTCATCTGGATGTATACAGAAGAAAGTCAAACTACTTTCAGTTGTAAAGCGCCTGGCCCTGGGAATCACATGGCTTCTCTAGGAGCTTGCTAATTTAGCACTGGGGAGGAAGCAAAATCCTAGGGGGATGGAGCATCCACGTGTCTTTTAAACAAAACGAAGTTAGAATTTTTACTAACGACATTCTTTCTATATGATTTCAGAAGATAAAAAAAAATTCCAAATTCTTAAGATATACAACAGGGAAAAGGGAATTGTTTTTTACTTAATCTGAATTATAATCTTGCCATTAAAATCTATCCATATTAAGTGGGGGGCACAAAATAATAACAATTATTTTTTAAAGTTTCAGCTGTTCAGTTTAAGGATAGCTCTGAAAATACAATTTAGTTTGAAATTCAAGCTGTTTCATTTCCTATTAAATCTTGTAAATTTCCTTCCCCTACAATACTCAGGTTGGAAGGGTGCCAAATTAGACCAGGAACAAATTTTCACCAACTTCACTTCAATGCTTTATTTTTAGATTATATTAAAAACCTCATTAGGCTCCCTGAGGGAAAAGAGTGTTAACCACTAACAGAGGCAGGCAAAAATAAAGGAAACAAAAAGATAAGCTAAATTGTTAACAAGGAAAGCTCCTCAGTTGGTCTGAGGATGCTGTACAAGCTAAAAGAAACTTATTACCAAGACCAGGTAAATGACTTGGGGTTGGAGTTTCATCTTTGACCCTCAGGCTAGTAAGGACTAGTCAGATTTGTCAAAGTGGCATATGTCCTTATTACCATTTCCAGATGGGATCTGGTAGAAGGCGGGTGGGTAGAAGGGAAGGCAGACCGTAACCTTTAAAGACTGTATACCTTTATACAATACCAATGTGCCTGAGTCTCCCGTTAACAGGCTGAAAACTGGGCAGGCATATGCAAGACTGGGTGCAAGATTCAATGGAATGTCAAATGAAACTTAAGAGTTTATTAATGTATTTACATAATTTATAATCTTTAAGCAATGGCCTCATAAATATAGACTACAACTTTACATATGCTAAGCAACAGATACTTGCTTTTCCCCACCAAAATACTTGGGTTAAAAAATAATTGACAGCATTTACACCACCTTCTTCACTTCCTCTTTTCTTTCTTTTTAAACCATTGCTAGTCAGTTCAGAACATATGAAATTCAATTTATTCTGGGCAGCTTCTCTACCATCACCATCTTGATCATGAGAGCTTATTTAAAAAGGTGCCAATAACGTGTTTGGTGGCACACACCATGACAAGGTCAGAAGGAAACCCAGGGTGAGCTAGGCATCTGCTGCTATCATTGTTAATTTACTGTACGTATCCTAGGCTAACATGTTCAATGAAAAGTGCTTTAGAGATGGCAGAAATGAAATCATTTCCATCAGTCCTATAAATAACCCATTTTAGCTTCAGATAATAATTGTCCTCCCTCCACTTAAACTATCCCACTATATTTTAAATGATACAACTCCCTCTAACAGTGGTAACAGAAACGAAGGAAATTATAATCTCCACAAGGTCTTTTTTTTCCCTTAAGAACCACGAAAGTGCTAATTTTCCCTTTACAAATGTTACATAAAATCTTGATTACAAAACTACTCAACAACTTAATCCTACCATCCATAAAGTTATATGTTCCTTTTCAGCAAGGTCAAAAGCCAACGATGTAGTCCCTTTGTACACTAGAGATTCTTTACATAATAGAAGTTCACAGACTAAAATATCATTGCTGCAGTCAGTCTCTGGAGAACAGAACTGGTCAATTTCTGTGAATCCTTTTTGTACAGAGAAGACTCAAGACTGGCTAGGTGAAAACTGGTGGTAGGCACCCCAGTCCTCCTGTTAACTTTCAGGACCACCTACTTCATCATCAAGTCTGAGGGGCTGAGGTTCGGTCAGCAGCAGCTCCGCTTTGGCTCTGAAGGCTGTCTTCGGAGTTTGAAGCCCTTACCGCCAGATGGCGGGTTGGCGTCAGTGGATGGAATTCTTCGACCTAAACCAAGATGAGAAGAGGGAAGGGAGTGAGCTTTAACTTTCTCAGACACAACAATTTTGCTGATGCAATTTGACAGGTTTCACTGAAGTTTAAAAAAAAAAAAAAAGTTTAATAAACTTTTTATACTCAAATAATTTTAGATTTATAGAAAAGTCGCAAAGATGATAGAGCTCCTGTGTACCTCCCACCCAGTTTCCCCCAGTGCTGACATATTACCATGGGACATTTGTCAAAATGAAGAGTTCAACATTGCCACATCACTATTAACTCCAGACTTTTTTCAGATAGCATCAGTTTTTCCGCATGTCCTGTTTCTGCCCCAGGATCCAAACAAGGATATCACACAGCACTTAATAAAAGCTTTTTGATTAAAAAAAGCCACACATTAAAAACATTTTGTTTTGAGTAGGTAATACATATGATTTATTTTTAAAAAGTTCAATCAGAACATGGCTGTCCCTCTGTCTCATAACAAGGCCACCACTGTGGCCCATTTCTCGTACAGGCTTCCAGAGACATATATGCACAAACACTCAGGCACACCTACATCCCTACCCATCTCCCCTTTCCAAGGCCAAATGGGGCAAGAAATAAAGCAAACCATAGGCACCATTCTCCACCATGATACTTTGACTCAACACATCCTGGGGATTGTGGCATCATAGTACATGGAGAAAGAGCTGCCTACTTTTTTTTTTTGAGACAGGCTTACCTGCTCTGTCACCTAGGCTGGAGTGTAGTGGCATAATCTGGCTCACTGCAGCCTAAGCTTCCTAGGTTCAAGCGATTCTCCCACCTCAGCCTCCCAAGTAGCTGGGACTACAGGCATGTACCACCATGCCCGGCTAATTTTTATATTTTTAGTAGAGACGGGGTTTCGCCATGTTGGCCAGGCTGGTCTCGAACTCCTGACTTCAAGCAATCTGCCTGCCTTAGCCTCCCAAAGTGCTGGGATTACTGGTGTGAGCCACTGTGCCTGGCCTGCTGCCTTCTTTTTAACAGCTCTACAATACTGCATTTGCAGATGGACCACCATTCATTTAACCATTTCTCTACTGATGGATGTTTAGTTTGTTTCCAACATTTTGATGTTATTAACAAAGACGCAAGAAGCATCTCTGTCAGCTTACGAGTGTATGTGCAGGATTAATGCCAGGAGCGGAAGAGCCAGGTCACGGCATTCTACTCCTGGGCGTTTGTCTGACACATACGTTGTATTCCAGTGTCTATCTAGCATAAACGCAGGAAGAATGTGCAATTTACATTTTGACAGATGCTGCCAAATTACTCTCTGAAGAGGCTGTGCCACTACATTCTCCTACCAACAATGCATGACAATGAACAGGTTTCACTTCACTGCTCCGTGAAGCATAATGCCAATTTCGAGAGAATCCTTAAATCACCTACCTACCTACCTGGCTGATAACTCAAGGGTTGCTTCTTGTACAAAGGCTTTCCTGACATTCTCCCACTTCCTTACTCTCTAACATCTCAGACACTACAATCAATCAGGACACCAGAAATAGGTTACAACACATATCTCATATCTGTTTACATGACTATCTCCCTCGCATTAGATCCTAAGCTCTTCTAGGCAAGAGATCCTATTTGCCCATCTTTATGTTTCCAGTACCTTATCAGCACAATACCTGACACAGAAGTATTTTATAAACATGGAATAAATGGACATGCACATTTTTTGGCATTAACAAGGCTAAGATGGCCTCTCCACTGACTTTCAGGTTCTGTCAAGCCTTGAGCCTCCACCACTTTGAGCTGTCTGCAGATCTGTGTGGGGAGTACACAGCATGGTTTCCATATTGAGAAAGTATCTCCCAGTGTCTTGTAACTACTTTTCAAATGACTAGACACCGCTGTGAATATACTACAAATTCGTTTAAAAGTTTTACCCAAGCTTCTTGTCATTATTCTCAATAAATGGATATTGAAATATAGCTGGTATCTAAGAGACATCTGTGAAGTATGACATCAAAAAATTGTTAAACAAATAATATTTTTAAAAGAAAGAAGAGGAGACTATTTTCATGAGCTGGGATTAGGTAATGATTTCTAAAACAGCAACCAAAAAACCGAAAGCAGCTAAACACAAAGGAAAACAAGGATCAATTAGATTATATGAAGATTAAAAACTTCAATCCATTGAAGGAGTTGACTAAGAAAACAAAGGCAAGCCATACAGTAGAAGATATTTCCAATATACATAGTCAATAAGTGACTCATCTCCAAAATAAAGAACTATAAAACATTAAGAAGAAGGCAGGTAACCCAACAGGAAAACAGGCAAAAGACTTAACAGGCCCTTCACAAAGGAGGATATGTAGATATGACAAATGTAAATCAATATTCGGAAATGTGCTCAACTTCATTAACTGTCATGAAAATGGAGATCACTGCCTACCCACCAGAGACAGAAAGTGACCGGACTTCTCATACTACTGGTGTGGGTGTCAACTAGTACAACTACCACTTTGAAAACTGGTTGGCGGTAAAGCTGTACTGAATGCATGTATACTCAACGACCAGCAATTTTTCTTGTGGGTATAAATACACCTAACAAAAATGTGTACAGATGTTCACCAAAGAATATGATCAGAATGTTTAGAGCAGTACTGTTTGTAATAACTCTAAATTGGAAACAGCTACCCAAATGTCTATCAACAGCAGAAAGGATAATTATATTGTGGGTATTCTTCACTGCCCCCTTATCCCCACAACTTGGACCCTGACACTGACACGCACAAACCAGTCATGAGAATGGATCATTCACAGCTAGATGCAATGACATGGATGGTCTAAAAATGTAATGCAGAATGAAAGAAGCCAGATACACAGAGGAAACAGGGTATGTTTTTAAAAATATAAAGTACAAAATATATGTAAAACAAAACCAGATAAACCAATCTGAGAATTAGTATCAGGACGGTTACCCTTGGGTGTAGGAATGGCCATGTCCCAACCAGAGTGCCAAGCACTGGAGTATATTCAGTTTGTGAAAATTCACTGAGCTTTGTACTTCTGATATGTGCACATTTCTGTATGTCTACTACACTTCAATACAAAGTCAGTGTGCCAGGCACTGTGCTCATGCAGTTTTACTAAACCAGTGGACAATAAAGTCTATGTACATGTCTCTCAATTTTTCTAATCTTTGTGAACATATAGGTTTTATTTTTCACAGTTAAAATGAATATGTACATACTAGTTTTTATGTAAGAATTTCATTGTTGGTTTACTACTACCTTCGTTTTTTTTTTTTTTTTTTGGAGATGGAGTCTTGCTTTTGTTGCCCAGGCTGGAGTGCAATGGCGTGATCTTGGCTCACTGCAATCTCCACCCCCTAGGTTCAAGCAATTCTCCTGCCGCAGCCTCCCAAGTAGCTGGGATTACAGACATGCACCACCACACCTAGCTAATTTTGTATTTTTAGTAGAGATGGGGTTTCACCATGTTGGCCAGGCTGGTCGCGAACTCCTGACCTCAGGTAATCCACCCACGTTGGCTTCCCGAAGTGCTGGGATTACAGGTGTGAGCCACCATGTCTGGCCTAACTTCCTGTTTTTAATACCACTAAAGTAAAGAACACAAAAAGATAGCGGTAATTTTAACATACTCATGACACCACACACTTAGGTATTTTAGCTTGAGCTGTGAAAAATTCCCAACTGGTTTTATGTTGCCTTTCAAAAATTCATCTGGGTACCTGCTATTTACATCTAGGACAACAATAAACATGATTTTTGTTTTTTTAAGAGAGAGGGTTTTGCTCTGTCACCTAAGCTGGAGTGCAGTGGTGCAATCAATGGCTTATTGCAGCCTCAAATTCCTGGGCTCAAGCCATCCTCCCACCTCGGCTTCCCAAGTGGCTGGGACTACAGGTGCATGCTACAATGCCCTAGTATTTTTATTTTATTATTTTTTAAGACATAGGGTTATACTGTTGCCCAGGGTGGTCTTAAACTCCTGACCTCAAGTGATCCTCCTGCCTCAGCCTCTGGAGTAGCTGGGATTATAGGTGACAACCACTATGCCCAGGGACATCATGACTTTTTAACACTGAAATGAAGGCGCTGGCCTAGAGGGTGCAGTAAGTAGTTCACTGGCCATATCTGGCAGCAGATGGGCTCCTTAGGCCTGCAAAGGACTCTGAAAATAGTCCTTTCAGAGACTACAAATGATTGGCCAGATCTAAACAATGGGACACGTAAAAAAAAATGTGAAAAGAACCTTACCAACCAGGGGCCCACATTCCAGTGTGGTCCCAGCTGATAGAGCTGGGCCTGGCCTTAGTGGGGTTCCCAGGGCTTCACCTGGGCCTGCTCTGCTCATGGGTCATCCTTGCCTGGCCTTGGTGGGCTCTGGAGTGCATGCCCCTCCTTGACCCAATGGCAAAGGACCCACTCTGCTTCAGTCCCCTTGGCTCTCAACCACATGGTGGATCTTAACGCTACATCCACCCTGCTCTCATGGCGTTCTGCTTTTCTCCACCTGGAAGTCTGACATGTTCAGTTCATGTGACTCCCCATACCTCTGCAGGGCCTGCTCCCTTGGACCTCAGCTCTGATAGCATCTCCTTAGAGAGGCCTTCCCTGATTGCTTGCAGACATCCCTTCACTTCATCCTAAATTATTTTCTTCGTATCAGTTATTATGATCTGAAATGATCCTATTTATTTGGTGTTCACTGTCTGTTTCCCTCTGTAGAATGTGCACTCCAGGAGAGCAGGGGCTGCGTCTATCTTCTTCATGGCTATTTCCCCTGAGCCTGGAACAGCTCCCAATAAATATTTTGATGAATTTGAATGAAATGAATAAACATAGATACAATCTTCAGAGGATCCCAAAGGCATGCAGCAGCCCCTCTCCTGTCTAGTATCATCATATTAACACTTCTGGAAAGGGAAGGGAAAGAGGGAAAACACGTCTTGCCTTTCACTTGTCTAGTATTATTTTTGAGGGTTTTCTTACAGTGCAAGTATACCTGCATTTCATTTTCCTTTATTCATTTTGTTCATTATCAATGACCTTGGACGACTAACGGAAAAAATTAAAAAAAATTTAAATAGAGAAAGAAATGGGACTGCTTTCATGACCTCAATACCCTGTGCATTATTTATTCAGTAGCAACATTCTTTCCAGAAGGGCAACAGCTCTTCAGCAACTGTAACATGATATGAAAACCGGCCATTACTCTTACCTTCTCCAATCTCGTTTCACTGATCGCAGTATCAGAGACTAGACTGCTCTAAGTAAGATGGGAATTCTAACTAGGAAGATCATTCTGTGTTAAGTTGCTTTTACAGAGGAAATAGATAAGGCACAGAGATACTCACTAATTTCTATAAAGAGTTCATTTATGTTTATCGCGTTTTTTGCGCTGGTCTCTACAAAAATTGCATGAATAGAGTCGGCGTAGTCCTTTGCATCTCTCTCCATGACTTCTCTGAAAGGCAACAACTACGTATCAGAAATTCTACCCACAAAGATCTTAGTTGTACCCCCACCTACCCAGTAGTTAACCAGATTTATGAGGACAAAGGATGACCTAAATGGCTGCTGGCTGGGCCCTGAGACACGGTCTTCCTGACTACATCACATCCATGGGTAAACAAACAAAATGAAACAAAACTCGGTACCACTAGTAATGTAGCTAATGGAATGATTAGGGTTGGCAGGGTTTTTTCTCCAGCCACAATTCTCAAAAAGCCCTTGCTCTGGGAATGATGGAAGTGGCCCAGAGAAACTGCCAATAAATGTGCTTTCTGCGTTCAAGTATTCTAAGTCATGGGAGCCTGGGGGCTGCTCTGATCTCAGATAATGTCGGGTGCAAAGCAACCAGTATTTCCATAAATTGCACACCTGTCTATATATAAAATATAATTAGCTCCAAATGCCTGAAATCTTAATTTTAGTTTGAAACTTTAGGACTCCAACCACACAACCAAAAGGAATTTTTCAATGTCAGAGATAAAATAAAAGCAAGACTCTTATTCTGGATATTGCTCATTAAGAAAAGGAACACATAATAGGTATTGTAATCTCTTGCTCTAATCACTTACCTTACATCGATAAGATCACACTTATTTCCTGCAATGGCAACTACAATATTAGGTGGGCCATGCTGTCGAAGCTCTTTCACCCAATTCTTTAATGTTGAAAATGTCTCCTGTAACACAAAAAAAGGAGAGCAACTGGAGATCTAACCAACCAAAAGAGAGTTTTCAAAACAATCTAAAGAAAGCTATATAGTCTTACTTCTTTTGTGATATCATAAACAATTATAGCTGCAGCCGACCCTCGATAGTACATTGGTGCTAAGGCACGAAACTGCAGAGGAGGGAAAATAAAGAAAATTGGGAGAATCGGTTAAATACGTTTTACACTAGACTTACAAGCCCATTATCCCTGCACAAAAAGTAATCTTTCTCTTAAGCCAAAGAAAATGACATGCTGCTTTAAAGCAAATGAACCAGTAATTACCAAAGGCAAAAACTTTCAACGTAACACTGAAATGTCTCTCAGAAGATAGTTTAGAATACAGTTTTATAGGACTTAAATATGGTGCTATAAACAATTGTTTCAGCTCAAAAGGCTTTTTAATTGAACTCAGTGTTATAATTCCCAAATTCATTTGTTCAATAGTCCTTTAAACTTTGGCTTCCCTAACTATCACGGAGATAAAAATAATGCTATACATAGTTCTCCAGAGAAGTGGCTGCATTTGGGTGTCATAAAGAAAACCCTGGAATGTGAACACTGATTGTCCTTCAGAAATGAGTACACATTTACATTCACTACTTGGATGAGTTTGAGACTTGCTTTTTTGATATCTCCATGCATGTGGCAATTCCCAAATGCTGGGTACAGATCTCATTTCATTTACATGAATCTAACCCTGTATACACAGCTTCTTCCCACTCATCACCCTGGCCTCCACGCCCGTGACACACAACAGGGAGGAAAGAGAAGGGAGAGGAATAACCATCCGAACAACAAGCATGATTCAGTGAGCTGTTTCTCTCGATGAGTGTGAGACGGAGGCTGCGAAGTTCTTTCCCCAGTCAACCTCGGTTCTTGGGCACACGTCCTGTGTGAGCATCTCACCCACTGAACATGATGCCAATGTTTAATGACAAGAATTTTGACTATACTTAATTTTCGTCTTACACCCTGACTCTGAAGCCTGACCCCTACTTATGACCTGATGACACTGTATCTGCATCCTGTTGTTAATGGTGGTTTACCCCTGAACACAGGCAGGAATGATCACAGACGAGCATTTGGTGCACATACATAAACCACATACACAACTATGGATTCTGGAACTCCCTATCCAATGAGTTTGACCTTTTGGCTTTTAAAGTTTTGTATTAATTTGAGTTTTACCAAAGAAAGTGAAGTTGTGACTGTAAGCTCCATGAGGGATGTCAGCATGTCTGCTGGGCACGCCATTTTATCTCAGGGCCTAGCATCTGACATGCTATAGGTTATCAAAAATTGGTGAACAAATGAGTAAGAACTGCATGAGTGTGGGGAGCTGTCAAACTAAGTGTCAGACCTCGCTGTCCATACACAGAAACTGCTACCAGTCTTTGTGAGAAACCCCTGCCTCTGAGGTGAAAGCCTACTAACTTCCAATAAAGGAGACATTAAGTTTTAGAGAGAAGAAAACAAAAATAAAGGTTATAAGCAAGAAAGCACCACAGAAAAGAAAACTATACTACTGAGTAAAAAAGAGATAAAGTGTTCGGTTGACTTCAACAGCACAAGAGAAAATGAGACAGAAGTGCACAGACGGAATAAAGGTTATGGTGTTAGCTTTCATTTTTGATGTACTTATATTGGCAATGTTCTTTACAGGGTCGTGTTTTCCTTCTTCCTTCAAATTCGTAAGGTAAAACTCATACAGAGAAAAGCAAAGATCTTCACAGTACAATCTGATAAACTGACAAATGCATACATCTGTGTGAGTACCATCCACTAAGATGTCAAACAGTTCTATCAACACAGAAAGTTCCTCAATATTCTTCTCACCATGTCCTTCTTCCACTTTGTTTTCATGTCCATTTTATTGATATTATATAACCACATGGGTTTCTTTTGTTTTTTATTTGCATACTATATCCTTTTACATTGTATAATTTTCTAACTTTGTTTTTATATTTATAGTAGTCCTCTTATAAGCAGCACATGGTTGGGTTCTGATTTTTGACAACCTTTGCTTTTTAAGTGGAAGGTTCAGCAGTTCAGCTCCTTTACATTTAATGTATTTACTAATATATTTGGATTTAGGTCTATCATTTTGTTTTATATCTGTTCCATTTCTCTTTCTTTTCTTTTCTTTTTTTTTTTTGAGACGGAGTTTCACTCTTGTTGCCCAGGCTGGAGTGCAATGGTGTGATCTCAGCTCACCGCAGCCTCTGCCTCCTGGGTTCAAGCGATTCTCCTGCCTCAGCCTCCCAAGTAGCTGGGATTACAGGCATGTGCCACTCTGTCCAGCTAATTGTGTGTGTGTTTTTTTTTTTTTTTTTTTAAGTAGAGGCGTGGTTTCTCCATGTTGGTCAGGCTTGTCTTGAACTCCTGATCTCAGGTGATCCACCCGCCTCGGCCTCCCAAAGTGCTGGGATTACAGGCGTGAGCCACCGTGCCTGGCCTGTATCTGTTCCATTTTTTAAAAAATTCCTGCTCCTCCTTTCTTTTCCTCTTTTGCGTTGCTTGAATTTTTCTTAGTGTTCAATTTTAGTATATTAACTTCTCTACTGACTTTTGAACTGTACTTGCTTGTATTATTTTTTAAGTTGTTGCTTTTGTAACTATAATATATACTGCACATTTTTATTTTTTTTTGAGACAGTCTTGCTCTGTCACCTCGGCTGGAGTGCAGTGGTGTGATCTTGGCTCACTGCAACCTCTGTCTTCCGGGTTCAGGCAATTCTTGTGCCTCAGTCTCCCAAGTAGCTGGGACTACAGGTAAGTGCCACCATGCCTGGCTAACTTTTGTATTTTCAGTAGATACGGGGTTTTGCCATGTTGGACAGGCTGGTCTTGAACTCCTGGTCTCAAATCTACCTGTCTTGGCCTTTCAAAGTGCTGGGATTACAGGTGTGAGCCACTGTGTCTGGACTACTGCACGTTTTTCTACAGTCTACTTAGAGTTTAAAATGTAGCACTTTATGTAAAATATCAGAGACTTGCAAAAGTCTAATTTCTGTTATCTTATCATTCTTTGTACTACCACTGTCAAATAATCTAAATCTACATACGCTATAAACTATACAATCCAGTGTTATAATTTTTGAATTAGTCAGTTAACTTTTGAATAATTTAAGAAGAAAAAACAGACGTTTCTATTTGCCATTTCTAGTGGTTACTATTTCTTCCTATGGATCTGAATTACCACGCACTGTCATTTTCCTTTAGTGTGAAAAGCTCTCTGGGACGGCTGCTGTTGATTTCTGTTTTTGTTTTTCTAAAAATGTTCTTACTTTGACTTTAGATTTGAAAACGAAGTCTGGCAAATTGATAGGTTTTTGCTTTCTGCAGTTTAACAATCCTGTTCCTCTGGCTTCTGGTCTCCAGTGTTCATGTGTAAAGTCAGTCATATTGTTGTTCTCCTGTTTACGTGTCTTTTACTTCTGGCTGCATTCAAGATTTTCTCTTTACCTTTGCTTTTCAGCAGTTTGACTATGACTTACTTAGATATGGTTTTCTTTGTACTTAGAGATTTGTTGAACTTCTTGAATTTGTGAGTTGATATATTTCACCAAATTCGGGAAATTTTCAGCCATTATTTCTTGAAATCTTTTTTTTCTGTTCCTATCTCTCTCTTTGCTCCCCCTGGTTCTCCAATTACACATATGTTAGGCTGTTTGAATTTGTCCCTATAATACTGAGACTCTGTCCATATTTTTCTACTTTTTTTCTATTCTTCTGATTAATTTGTTCTATCACCCTCTGGTGAATTTTTCATCTTAGATATTGCAGCTTTCAGTTTTAGCATTTTCATGTGATTCTTTATTAGTTTCCATTCTGTGTGAGACTGCCCATTTGCAGTTAAGTCATTAACACTCCTTTTTTTTTTTCTCTCCCCTTAAGAGATGGGCTTTCACCATGTTGTCCAGGCTGGTTTGGAACTCCTTGACTCAAACAATATGCCTGTCGTGGCCTCCCAAAGTGCTGGGATTACAGGCGTGAGCCACTGTGCCTGGCCTACTTTTCTTTAAATCTCTGAACATATGTAAAATATGTGCTTTAAATTCTGTGTCTGCAAATTCCAAGAAAAGGGTCACTTTAGGGTTTGCTTCTGCTCACTGGGTCACACCTTCCTGTTTCTTCATATGTGTAGTAGCACTGACTGTACACTGGACAGTGCGGATGATGCACTGTAGATGCTTGGTTTTTTAAAATCTTCTCTGCAGAGTATTAAGCTACTGGTGACTCATCCTGAGATTGGTTTTACACGTTGTGAGGGTGGGTCTATTTGGGTTTTTGGATTTGCCCTTAGTCTTAGGACACCGTTTCTACTCCCAAGGCATGGCCCTTCTGAAGTTTCATTGGAATGCCCAAGGTGTTCAGTGATCCCTTGTACCACAGTAGGATTGGATTCAAACTCTGAAGTCTAGCCCTGCCGTAATGAAGAGCAGCTGACATCTCTGCTGTCTTGTCACCCTTTCCACCTACTGGTTTCTGTTGCATTTTATATTGTCTCTCTTGTGAATTCACAATTTGGGGGTCAAAAAAACTTCAGGGAAATTTATAAACAGACTTTACGGGGTCCCTCCTTGTTGAATCCCTCTTTTCTGCGATTTGCCTCCTATTTTTCTGGCTGCTCTAGCAGTCCTAAACTCTGCACTCATCACAAGCTTTCTGCTTAAGTCCTAGCTACCCTGTGCCACACGAACTGGGAAGTGCCCACTGGGGAAAAGCTGTAAAAATGTGGATCTTACACAAGAAAGCTCCCCTTTGCAGTCCCTGACTGCATTTGGTTGCTCTGCAGTGCCTTCAAACAGTTGTTTTTTAAATGTTTTGTCCAGAGTTTATACATAATTGTTATCTGTGGGAGGGCAAGCCACTCTGCTATTACTGACATGGAAACTTTCATGTCCTTTTGATGCAAAGAAGGAAGATGGAGGCATGTAAGAGACTCAAAAGACGTCAGCACATTTCTGCTCCAAACCTGGCTTTCAATCAGGTGATGGCAAACGTTTTCTGGTAAAGACCAGGTAGTAAATATCCTGGCTTTATGTGTCACATAATCTCTGCTGCAACTACTCAACTCTACTATTGTAGAGTGAAGGTAGCCGTAGACCAAGCTTGTCTAACCTGCG